CACTGCGGCCTGAGTGCTATGTCTGCTTTGCACTCCTTCCTTGTCTGCTTTGCAAGGACACCCACTGCTCACTGTTCAGATTTTAGAAGCTGAGCTCCCAGTGCTATGGTAGCTACCACTGTTATTTTTCTTTACAATATTCACGACCTCAAAAGAGATCAAAGTCTGGTGAAAATGCCAAAAACAATGTGATGACAGGAAATGTTGACAAACCATTCCTGCAAAAACAGTTTTAGTGGCAGGTAACAGGGAAGGTAAGCCATATTCACAGCCATAATTACAAACAAAGATGGTAAAAACATTTCTGTAATATTTGGATGCAGGACTACCTGGTCCTAAACCAGGGGGAGCAAGGACCAGGAAGAGGCCCAAACTCCACCTGCACGCAGCCTACTGTGTGGTTAACTCTAACGTGTACTCCACATCTCTACAATGAAATAGAATTTGGTTAAAAAATAAAACACAAAAGAGACTTTGAAAGTGTCTTACAGGTTTATTATTTTTAGAGTTAAGATTTACTTGCCGTTTTTAGCTGTATATAAAGCTGAAGGAATATGTGTTCATAACTCGAGGATTTACTGAATATTTTTCTCCTCTCCTGCACCATCCCCAAGCCAAGAGCCACCTGCAACCCAAAATACAAGAAGTCCCTCCCAGAGCTAGAGTTCCTACAGGGGAAGACCCTAGACCCTCCCAGCTACATCAAGATGCTGGATAACATTTCCTACCAAACCTCACCTTAAAACTTAATCATGGAGCTGGCAGAAACCTGGAAAGGACAGAGTTTCCAAGGATGGCTTTTACCCTTCAGGTAAAAGATTCTCTGGTAATAAAGAGAAAGGTTACGATTTGTTGGGGCTGAATTACTGATACTTTTCATATGGTTAGGTTTTGGTCTTTGATTTTTATTTGTTTGCTTCTCATTTAAGAAAATCTTCCCTACCTCAAAATCATGGATTTTTTTAAATTATTTTTTTTTTAAAAAATAATTTTTTTTTAAGAAGATATTTTCTTCCATTTTTAAATGTTCCTTTTCATATTATGCATTTTATCACTCTGGAATTGACTTTGGGCCTGGTGTGAGGTAGAGATTCTATTTCATTCTTTTCCATATGGCTAAATAGGCTAAATACTTGTTATACTTGAACGTACATTCTTTCCTTGTCAGATCTTATCACAATTCCACATCTGTGTACACTAAGTTCTGTGCTTTATAGTCTACATTCTTTATTCTATATAGTCTATATTACATATGTATAATGTGTATACTATATTCTATTAGTCTATTTGCCTGTCCTTTGATTATAACTTTAAGTAAATCTCGTAACATTATCACATTACTGTGTCTATTAGGATAAACGTCTTGTTTTCTGTCCTCTTTGTAAGCACCTGAGAATATAATGGTTATGACCTATTCATCTTTTTATTTCTCATAGCTCCTAAATCAATATTTCTAGATCAAAAGGTTATTTGCTAAATAATGGATAAGGTAAGCAACAATACTGATTCTTAACTGTAGAGCCAAATCATTACCTCTACATCTATACATGTATTACTATATTTTCTTATTTTCTGTACTCTTTTTTTTTAATGTAAGTTTAAGGAATACAAGTGCAGTTTCCTTACGTGTATACATTGCTAGTAGTAAAGTCTGAGCTTTTAGTGCAACCATCACCCGTAATGTACATTGCACTTATCTTAAAGTAGTTTCTCACCACTCACCCCCTCCTGTCTCCCATCCTTTAGTCTCCAATGTCCATAATTCCACACTCTGTGGACACATTATTCAGCTCCCACTCGTAAGTGAGAACATGTGGTATATGACTTTCTGAGTTATTTCACTTAATGACCTCCAGCTCTATCCATGTTGCTGCAAAAAACATTTATTCTTTTTATGGCTCAATAGTATTCCATTGTGTGTGTGTGCACATCACATTTTCTTTACCCAGTCACTTGTTGATAGACACTAAGGTTGCTTCCATGTCGTCCTAGAGATTCGCAGACAGTTCACTAGGGAGCATGCCTTTCATATGCAAACCAACTGATCCAAAATCCACATCCTCCCTCAACCCCCTCTAGCCAACTCTCCCACACCAAGTCAACACCCTGGCCTAATCCCCCAGGGCCAGGTACTAGACAACTGGAAACAGCCCTGTGCTCTAGACAACTGGAAACAGCCCTGTGCTCTGAAATGATTCACACCTGCAATCCAAAATCTGCTAGTCCTGCCTCACCTTGTTTTCCCATGGAGATGACAATGAAGCCTGTTGCCCAAGTGTGTCCCTTCTGTCTCCTGACCAACCCTGGTATTTCTAGAATGGCTCCTGTTCCCAGGGACCTGTGAGCATCAACTTCTTCCTTCATGACAGTTATTTCCATGTATTTATGTCTTACTACATCTGATTAAAAATCCTAGGCACACATTAAAATAATGCACAATAAATGTAATTGCTTTTCCTGGCAAATGTGAATGATTTAAATGAGAAAACAAATATAAAAGCAAACTGTTAGCTTTGTCAGTGATGAAAGAACTTAAGATTTTAGAGGCAGTTTATTATTTTAAGCATTTGATAATTGGTAGGATCATTCAATGAGAAACAAAGATATACTAAGTTATTTCCCTTTGCATGTCCTAAAAATCAGACTAATAGGAGTTTTATTTTGTACATTTATGAAGAAATTGTTCTCTTAAGAACAGAAAGTTAAATTCAGAACTGTGATAATCCTTAAGGCTTATCATATTACAGTTTGTCCTTTTCACAGATGACAAGATGAACTATTGAACTGAGAGTCCTGATTCTCCATATTAGTATTTCAAAGAACAACTAAGTATTTGGAGGAGTTAATCACAACATGGAGTGCGTCATATAAAATTACCTCACACACGTTTATTCAATTGAGCCGTCCGATGCACGTTCTGAACTGGGATCAAAACTAATCTTTCCAAAGAACAGACAGAAGAAGTAATCACCTAATTCTCTTTCATTTCAATAAAAATAATTAATGTTTAAGGGAATTCAACTTACTGAAGATTCGGGCTTGCCTTGTGTAGTACTATGATGATGAGTTTCTCTCAGCTAATCTGTAATGATTCTCAAGCCTCTACAGTAGTAACTTTAACAGCAACTTAGTGGAAAGAGCAGACACAGCACTGCATGTGAAGTCAACATGCAGTGGAAGCTAGTTCCATCTCCCAAACTTACTATCTAGCTTCACAACACAACTTCTCTGGGTCTCAGTTTCCCTATCTCTGAAACAGATATGCTAAGACTTGGCCTGCTTACCACACAGGATCAAAGAGGATGCCTCAAAGTTCTTCATATGCTGTTAAATTCCTTATAAATTTATAGTATTATTAGTCAAAACCATCTGTGCTACAAAGAATTTTATCTAATACTACTTTTATATGCTAATTTTATGCAGTTTTAACATTACTCCATCAAGAAATACCCAAAACATCAAAGACCTTGGTTAAATTTTATATCATAGTGAAAAAGGAAACTTAGTTAAAAAATTCAATTAAGGAAAAATTTTATTCTTTATGTTAATAGTTTTAAAATGACTTATAGCATTTTACTAACCCTCTTAACATGTACTATGGTTTCCCTCCATGATGGTGGTTTTTCCCTACAGAATATCTGTGTGTAACATGAATGTGGCAGCCAGGAAGGACTCACACTGCAGTCCTCACAACATTGGTCTCTCCTGACAATTCACAACACAACGCAAAACAAAAACCTAGCTTCTCCATGATGTCTCTATTCTCAACAGCCCAGACACACAAGCAAGGGAGCTGAGCCTTTGTGAGGTCATCTTATGTGTGGTGTCTGTGTTTGTGCCTGTGTCTGTGTGTGTGAGTCTGTGTCTGTGCGTGTGCCTGTGTGTGTGTCTCTGTGCATGTGTCTGTGTGTCTACACCTGTGTCTGTGTGTCTGCTTCTATGTCTGTATTTGTGTGCCTATGTGTGTCTGTGTCTATGTCTGTGTATGTCTGTGTCTATGTGTGTATGTCTGTGTGTGTGTGTGTGTGTGTACATCTGTGTTTGTGTGTGCATGTGCACAGCTGAAACTGCAGGTGCTTCCACACATGCTGTTCTGGGCACCTGATTTAGATGTCCACTCCCTTGTTCTTCCAACACTTTAGGAGGGGGCACTATCATTGTCCCTATCTACAGACGAGGAAGTTGAAGAACAGAGATTAAGGAAGTAGCTCAAGCCTACCCAGCAATTCCTTTGCAGAGCCCTGATGCAGACCCAGAAAGTCTGGCTCTGTTGTCCATGCATGAAACTTAGAAACATAATGCTGAGAGAAAACAGGTGGCAAAAAATGCAGAGTATGATGTCATTTTTTAGAAAGTCCAGAAACAAAACTACACAACATATTGTTTGAGGACATACACACATGTGATAAAGCTATAAAGAAATCAAGGGAATTATTATGAAAACAAATCTGGGCTAGGGTCCCAGGACAACGGGAGTGGGGAAGGACTTGAGAAGGGCCTCTGGGGACTGTACTGTTTTAGGTACTGACCTAGCTCTATAGCTGGGAAATAGACTCACTGGTGTTTGTTTCATTACTGTGCCTCATAACTTACAGACTGTGTATGTCATAACTTACGCAGAATGTATAAAATGTATTATAATATAAATTTAAAAAAAATATTTATCAATAAGCTACCTAAATTCCTTGACTTATCCTGAATTTACAACACAGAAAAGTTGAAAAAGTCACTCTTCTCTCTTTCCAGAATTGGTTAACTAGAGCAGGGATGGCAGACGCTTGCCAGGAACAGCACCCACTTTCCTCACGATGTTCATAACATGGCTTCCTCGACATACAGGACTCCAAGAACTCAGGCTGACCTGCCCATTGACTGGGTAGCCACACCAGTGTTCCTGGAGAGGGTACCCTCACCATCACTGCACTAAAGGACCTCTGGACTTCCTGCAACTAGGAAGTTGTAGGACCGTCCAACTGCCTCTTTCTCAAACATGCAGTTACCTGTCAAGTTGGAAGCATCAGTGGGACTCAGCTGCAACCAGTGGCGGGCATCCGAGTCAGCCACAACGTCTGTGGGCGTGCTTAGCTCCGGGTCCTCCTCGCCTGGCTGCCATGCAGTCATGGCGAGCTCTGCCTCATGGGAGTAGCCCAGGGCTGAGTCACTGCTGGCACTTTCGCCTGGCACAAGGGAAGAGTGGGAGTTTAAGATTAAAAAACAGCTGAAAACCAGAATGGTCACCGTCACTGATACACAAGTCACTAAGCCCTTAAATAGCAGACACAGCAGGAATCATTCAGGGGCTTGGGCAGAACCTGCAGGACTTGGAAGGGGCCCAAAGATTCCCATGTGGGGTCCTGGTCAACACAATAAGCCTTCCAAGTACAGGACACTAATAGCCATTACAGGCACCACATTATATCAAAGTGGCATTCTTTCCAAGGTATTTGTGCTCAGAATCCCATATACCCAGAGGATTATGACAAGTCCTAAATTCTTGAGACTTCTAAAATGAGGGTGATGACCCATCCCACCCCCAATACACCTTGATTTGCCAGCTAGAAGAGCCTAAGGGTGCTGTATCTCTCAAACCTGACGTGTAGACTTAAAGCCAGGGTGATTCACTCAGGTCATCTGGGGCTGTGGTGTCCAAAAATTACAGAATCTCAATAACAGAAATTCCCTCTGTCAACATTAATACGTTCTCATTTGTTATAATATAATGAGACTGGGCTATTAAGAATGACAGGGCTATTTAGTGTGATATAAAACAAATCTAGACAGTTCTGCTCCTCAAAGTCTACAGTCTACTTCATAATAATTCATGTGTCTACCCATCTGTCTGCTTACAGTACCTGCTGCTGACAGTCCCCCAGCCTCACTGTTTCTAAAGTGTTGTCCTTGAGTCACTCACAAAGAACTAAAAGTTGTCTCTGTAGCCAGATGACCAAGCTATTAGGTGCTAACACCATCCTCACAGAACTCCAGACCAACAGGGTGAAGGGAGAGTGTGAAAAGAGCCCCTGTGCACCCAGAAAAAGCCACCCTGGACTTGTAGGACGTGTTCCCTGTGCCACTCCGAGAAGGCAGGCTGGCACCTGACTTCAGGAAAGCGAGTACTGAGGCTACGCCTTACACCATTTGATCATGTCTCTCAGGAGTCTGGTTAAATGTTACTTTAAAGTACTTATCCCATTGCTTTCAATGTACTTCTGAAGCTTTTTGCTCCTAGCCTGTGGGAAATTTCTGGGAAGATCATTTTTCTTTCTCTGTCTATCTGCTCTCCCAAGTCGTCAGCCTCACCTGGGGAAAGGCCCCAGGTAGAAAGGCCTCTCAGAGACAACTAAGTGGAACTGTTTTAGTGTATATGTGGAGTAACCATTCATCAGTCCTGGGATTCCAGGAACAAAAAAGTGCCATTTCACAACCACGTCTTTTCAGTTGATATCATTCATGTTAGAAAGTAAAAAGAAGACAACACATTTGCTCTGCAGTTAGACTTTTGAACTTACTTTTTTGTCTTTCCCTACACTTTCCTTGTGTCTGCTGCAAATCATCTTTTAAATCCAATTCAGCTGGGCTGCTGCTTCTTCGTACTAAAATCTTCAGACAAAAAGAAAGATTGCATTTATTGCAGGAAAGTTTTTATTTTTACAAGACTGCTAACTTTCTAGCCCAAATTTCTACAGAAAAAGAAATAAATAATAATAATAGCAACATTCCATTTAAGGAAATATGTGCTTAAAAATTACTATAATCGAATTTTGTATTGCTCAAGATCTGAAACTTTAGTTTCTATTTTCTACTTTGTCATCTGACACCCAATTAAACTGATCTAAGGGATATAAGTTACACAGAAGTAATTTATTCTAAAGTTCTATTTGTTCCTCCAGTTGAGCCAGCATGGATAGATACCACTCCAGAAGGCCTACATCACCTACAGCAATGCTGAGCATGCTGGCAGGGAGATACAGGCTCCACCCAGACTCCCAGGGGTCCACTCAGGGCCTTCCTGTTTACAAGTGCCACAGATCCTCCTGAGTACTGCTTAACACCAAGTCTGGCATTAAATATGGAGGATAAAAAAATCAGGAGGCAATCTGCAGCCTCTAAAAATCTAAGATTCACTTGGATAAACAAAATGTACACAAAATAATTCCAACATACATGAGCAAAACATATAAATGAACAGTTTCTGAAAGGCATACAGAATAAAGTGTTGTGTTATTGGCTCAGGGTTCCAGCAGAGCAGTTCAAGAAGGTGATGGACTTGAAGTGGTAGGGGGAAGACAGGAGGGAAGTTGAGGCAGGAAACACTGGATGGTGACTGGCAAGTTCTATGTGCAGGAAAAGACATTGATTACAGCAGGCCGCCAGGGCAGCCAGGTGAAGGAGAAGAAAGAGAAGGAAGGCAGGCCTTCTAAGGGGCAGCCTCCCGAACCTTAGGTCTAGGCCTTCTGACCCAATATCAACAAAAGGAGCAGCTACTGTTCCAGGCAACAGCTTGCTGTGGCGAAACACATAACTAGAAAGATAAATCTAGTGGTTATATGTGGGGTAGATCAGAGTGAAGAAGAAAATGGCTATGGAACTGCTATGGTGGTTCAGGATTGAGGGGCAAGACTTCTAATGGTGGGAAAGAGGCTCAGAGACAAGTAAGAGAAAGAGACTACAGAACAGGAGGCAAGAACTTACAATCAACTGTACATGAGTAGAAGAAATTAAATCCCCAAAGAGTATAAATCTAGGGGGCAATAAGAGGGAGGGAAGGAAAGACAGAGGGGGGGATAGAGGGAAGAAAGAAGGGAGGGAAAGAGGAAGGGAAGAGGGATGGAAGGACAGATAAAGAGAGGGAGAAAGGGAAGAAAAGAGGAGGGAAAGAGGGAGGGATGGAGAGAGGAAGGAAGGGAGGGAAAAGGAGGGAAAGAGGGACAGAGGGAAGGAAGAAAGGAGGGAAAGAGGAATGGAGGGATGGAGGGAGGGAGGAAGGGATAGAGGGAGGGAAGAAAAGAGGGAGGGAGAGACAAAGGGAAGGAAAGAGGGAAGGATGAACTTGATAATGTACCTGATATGTTAATTTTAGTCTTTGAGTTGAATATTGAAGGATAAGATCCTGTAAGTGAACAACCAAAACCCAGGACTGGTGAGAGGGAACAACACTGTAAGCTGGAGGGCCCCCACTGCAGAGTGCATTAAAAAAAAACCCCAGCATTCAATAAATCAACGAAGGGAACGAAAACTAAACAAGCAAACAAATGCAAAGGGATGGGAGCACAGGATGTGCAATTAAAATAAAAAGCAATTCTTAGGCTAAAAAAAGAAGTTATGAATGAAATATTTAGAAGATTAACACTATATAAAAAATGATTATACTGCCTTAAAGAAGGATTATATGTACCTAATGTGCTAAAAGAAAATATACTCAGGATATTTCCTTAATTAAAAAAAAGGATACAGGCTCTTTTGCTCCTGACTCTATGGGAGACAAAATATCCTCCAACCATAGAATTAGACCTACAGAAACTTTAGTTGGGATTTGGGGCAAACAGGAAGAAAAGGAACCTCTGAGAGATCCCCCTCAAAAGTGAGCAGAAGTCAGGGCTATGGAATGGCGCTACTGCAGTGGTAAATCCCTTATTACCACCACCAGTGGCAAAGGACCAAGACTCTAGTATTAAAGTAGCACCCCTGGAGTAGAGGGAGAAACAATGTTAAGTGTTGTCCCGGTGAAACTTCTAGGAACTCATAATCCAAAATCAAACACCAACGGAAATACATCCCCATGTACAGGAGCCTCAAAAACAACAAATAACAGATTTAGACCACCACCTCAAGATTTCAGATAATCAGATAAAGAATTTAGAATTGCAAGCCGGCTCGGTGGCTCAGCCTGTAATCCCGCGCCTTTGAGAGGTTGAGGTGAGTGAATTGCCTGATCCCGCGGGTTCAAGACCCATCTGGGCAACTTGGTGAGACCTCATCTCTACCATAAATCAAAAATTAGCCAGGCGTGGTAGCGCGCGTCTGCAGTTCCAGCTACTTGTAAGGCTGAGGCAGAAGGATCGCTGGCGCCCAGCAGGCAAGGCTGCAGTGACCAGGAGTGGCCACTGCACTCTAGTCTGGGTGACAGAGTGAGACTCCAATTCAAAAAAAAAAAAAAAAAAGAAAAGAAAAGAATTTAGAATTGCAAATTGTAAGCACTTTAAAGGAATAAAAGATGGGAACCATAAAAATTAGCAAACAACAAGAGATTTTAGAAATTACAAGATATGCTTGAAGTATAAATTTGAACTTTCAAAAATAAAAAGTATAGTTGCTGAAAAAATAAAAACCTCAGTGAAAGTATTAAACAGCAGTGTAAAGAGAGTGTTATTGAATTGATGAACGACAGAGCTGATGAAATTATCCAAGATGCACCTAGAGGATCAAAAAGAATGGAAAATATAAAAGAAGTTTAAGACACACGGAAGATAATTTGTAAAGGTCTAATATATTTCTACCCAGAATTCCAGAAGGAAAGAGAAGAGAGAATTAAAAAGAGGCAATATTTGAAGATATGATTAAATAATTTTCCAGAAATCACAGAAGACAAGCACTTGCAAATACGGGCACATAGCATATAACGAAAAGGACACATGAGTAAACCAAAAGAAACCTGCACCAAAATATTCCTCAGTGAAACTGAAAGACAAGAACAAATAACAGCAAGAAACTATAAGTGGACAGGATGGTCGGGAGATGAAGCCTTACACAGCCAGGAAACAGCATACATGAGAGAGAGGAGGCATTTTAGGCCAATCAGGAAAAGGGTATTCAATAAATGGAATCAGGACAAGTAGTTATTTATGAAGGAAAAAACTGAACTTGAATCCATTCCATCAGTGAGAATCAATTACAGGTAAATGAAAGATTTAGATGTATAGAGCAAAACTGACACCCTCATAAATATAAGGTAGTGCTTCTATCCTTATGCAGTAAAGATTTTTCAAAATTCCATAAAACTCTAATCATAAAAATTATAATAAACAATATCAAACAAAAATAAAGAACTTCTGTTCATCAAGAGACCAAAGAGAAAGTGAAACTAAAGATCAGTATTCAGACTATACAAAGAGCTAGTATAAATAAAAGAGAAAAAGATAAATCAACAGGGAAAATGACAAAAGACATCAGTATTTCACAGATGAAACAAAAATAGCTAATCAATGCATAGAAAGATTTAAAACCCTATTAGTACTCTAAGAAATGCAAATTAAGAAATCCTGTTTTCACCCCTTGACACATAAAAATGTAAAATTCTAACAATAGACAATGTAGACAAGGATATGGATGAATAGGAACTCTGTACATCACTGGCAGAAACATAAGTGGTGCAACCACCTTGGAAAGCAGTGATTACTTGTAAAGAACATCCTTCTATGACTTGTTAACTCTCCTCCTAGACAGTCACAGTACAGAAAACTTTTTTTTTTTTTTTTT